CTGTCTGCTGACAGTCATCAACTTTTCTCTCTAGTTATCCTTGACCAGATGTACCCTGTAAAAACTCATAAGCATGACTAAGCATTTAACAGTGTAACTAGACATCCTATCTCCACTAAACATTTCTAATACATAAAGTACCTAACCAATATCTATCTGACTAAAAATACCTAACAGGGTGAATATTTATTTATTTATTAATATTTATATTTATCACTTATTTCACATTACACATTTTTATTTGACATTACTTTGGAGAAACCTGTTTTCACTTTGACATTAGAGGTTTATTTGTTTTTTTGTTTTTTTGTCCAAAAAGCCAAATTATATTGACCATGACTGATTTATAAAATCAATAAAAGGGTAAAACATCCAAGGGGGGGAATACTTTTTATAGGCACTGTATAGACTCTGGTCAGATAATCTCTTAAACTGGGTGTTTTTCTTTTGTCCTCCATCCCTTCCTGTGTTGTCAGCCTCAGAGACAGGATCTGACTACCACCCCATCTTCTTTAGTCAGGATCGGCTGTTGGAGGAGCTTTTTTGTGTCTGCATTCAGCTAGTCAACAAGACCTGGAAGGAGATGAGGGCCACACAGGAGGACTTTGACAAGGTACAGTAGTCTGGTATAACACGGCCTGGTTTGCTTTGTGTTAATTCACCCAGCTTTATTTTCACTTTAGGAATTCCATTAAGCTGTGCAGTATGATGACCATAGTTTAAAATGTCCATCAAATGTCTATAAATTGTCCATATTTATGGTAATGACAATAATTACAGGTTTGAGGCACATTCTGTCACATTTTTTATGTATGCATACATGTATTTGCTGGAAGTTTGGACTATATCCCAAATGCACAGTGCCCTGATATCCATCTCAGTATCTACTCTGGAAAACTGTTCTTATTGAAAAATAATGTGTGCAGTGGCTCAGTAATCAGTCCCTAGCACAAGCTGTTTTCCTTAAGCTACAGTAGGTCAGCTCAGTCCACTATAGACATACAATGAGAAAAAAATGGTCAGTGATCCTCTAAGGGCATTCATTGATAAGAGTACAACAAAGCTGACACCTTCGTGGTCAAAAAGCTAGGTGATTTTTTTGTTGTTGTTCTGATGGATATGTGTGGGAAGGAGTTGAATCAAGGTTTTCCCACGCAGATGGGAAGGATTATTGATTTGCCAAGTCTTAGCTACTGTACACCGAATGATAACTGCTGAATCGCTGGTCTAGCATGGCTCAGTGGCACGTCAACTCAGAATCATTTGTAGTAGGCCATCATTATGCTGGACAGTCCCAACCGCAAATGCATTTCTGGAAATAGTGAAATAATGTTGAAGCTGATCATTGCCTTGTATCTAACCAGTGTTTCACTAGTTTAGCACATGAAGTTTGTTGGTCTGGGACTCAGCAATGAAGCAGTGATTAGCTCATTCTGTGATCCTCGAGCTGTTCATTCTTATCTTGCACACTAGCATCATGAATCATCTGTTAAACAGAGCCTTAATTAGTGAAATTTATCACATTTTATATGTATCTTTGCAGATATTGCAGCATTCAACAAGATAAATCCAGTCTACCTCAAATTTCTATCCAGACAAATACATTTAAATTTAATAAAAGAATAAGCCATCCAGGAGAAATATGTCTGTTTAACACACACACAAATCTGCTCAAGTGGGAGCTTTTTTATGGTGAGTTTGAAGTTTGTACTTTAATGACTCATTAAAGGTTCATTCTTATGCTAACTATACCCACTCTGCCCCCATAGACAGTATTGTAATTGACCTACCAACCACCATGTAGTACTTGTTCTATGGAAGTAGGTTCAGCTGAGCCGTGAGCAGCAGGGGCTTGTCTGGGAGAAATACTGAGAATCCAGCTACCCTGAAAGAAAGAGCCATAGAGCTTTTGTCCTGAGCATCAACAATGTGCTCTCCTGATAGTCATAAAGCTCAGTGACCTTTTGACCTGCAGTGTCCTGAGTGCCAGACCAGCAGACCAGCCTTGTGTTTTTGACTATGGCCCCTCCCCAGGGGGCTTTGGGACAAGGACAAAGGGGTGTTACATGGACTAAGGGAAGCCTGCTTGGCGGCAGGAACTGGGAGAAGAGAAAGAGGAAAACAAAGTGCTCAGGGCATCAGCAGTAATTACACAACCACAGAGGAAACATAAAACTTCTGGAAATAATATGAGAGGGCTGGTGGTACAGAAAAACAGAGGTGGCGATAATGCAAACTTAGGTTCTGTTACTTATAGAATCAAAGTATTTGTGTGCGAGTGACACTGTTCCATAACAGCACGCTCCCACCATCCAGTCACGTGAATGTACTTGTTCCCTGTGATAACGGCCACCTTGCATGAGCGCACACACATTCAGCATATGTGCACATGCTGCAGGGGTTTAGGGAACAGAGACAGCTGCCAGTCATCACTCCTGTTGGCCAGTTGAGCTAAAGGACAGGGGCCAAACAGGGGAGGAATGTGCATGTGTGTGAGAGTATCAGCATGTCTGCTTACAAAACACCCACAAGCCTGTCATGTAAGTGATCTCTGTCTGTCTCCTGCACTCTCATCCTCGTCACATTTCTGAGTGTTGTTGGAAAGTGGAATTCGAAGTGGGGATTAGAAAAACATTGCATATAGAGTCAGCTCAGAGGATACAAGAAGAGGTAAGATTGGGCTTGTATGTGTTTTCTTGGTTTGAATGTGCATTAAGTGGTTTGATGTTAACTGAACAATTGATATCAGATGTTCCAGGTTTTGTACAAAAAAGTAGATTTTTCTCTCATATTTTAAAATTGCTAAAAAGGTGATGCTTGAAAACAAATGATTTATAGCATGAGATAACGGCGTGAAGTGGCCATCTGAAACCCGCCATGTAAGGTTATTTTAGCTCAGGGGACTTAAAGCTGCAGTGTCAGTGTGACGCTCGAGTTGCTTGTTTTGTGTCCCTGCATGTTCATACAATAGAGAATGACAGTGTTGCTTTTACTGTCTGTACGTCCAGTGCTGCCAGGTGGATGAACTTGGTCATTCTCTGTGGTAGTTGGATCTAATTAAAAACCCTTGACAGCTACAGGATTACATTTCTGTTTTTTGGTTTTACAATGCATGTAAATCACCATGTGGCAGACACTCTATAGGAACAGACTGTGTGGAGAGAGGTCTGGACAGAGCTGCAGTGAATGGCTAACCTTCCTGATTGTCCACAATCAGTCCAATTGAGTGTGAACAGGAACGATCTAGGTCAGCAGAGCCACTTGTGTGTGGGGACACAGTGCTGGAGTGGGCTTGGTTTCGTAGCACTATAGATTTTCCACTATTTCCAGCTGAGGTGTGTATACTGAAGCGAGCTATAGATGTTACTCACATGGATGCACACAGTTTGACCAAAGGCCTGAGCTCTTGTTTCAGGGTAGTGGGAGTGAACACCCGCACAGAATCACATGAATGTATAATGGATATTTTATCAGGAGATTACACCCAGTTATAAGGGAAGAACCCCATAAGTGTTCTGTAAAATAACCACCCAGCTTGTCCAACACTGAACGTACTGATTGAACATGGCTGTACTGAAGGTGTTGGTTGGATGTTGCAGTTAATTAGGCTAATAAAGAGCGCATGGTTAATGGCTAGCCCTTATGTGGGTAAGAGGGTACGTACATACAGGTTTAGTTTATTGGAGAGTCTGAACCAGGAGGGAGTTCATGAACCTAAAACTGATGATAGAAATAGCTGGGTATGAATAGATCTGAGGCAATGTGTACAGTTTGGAAGAAGGCAATGAATAAAAGAGCTGTTTTATGTTGTTGTTGTAGTTGCCGCCAACTTCTGAAGTTATAAAGTCTTGTTCCTCAGAGGACTTACTGTAAACACTTAACAGTTGCTCTCTTTTTGAAGACCCCTTCAACCTGAAGCCATATCCAAAACTAAGGGAAGTCTTAATTGGGGAGCGCTGCACTGAACAAATCCCAAACATGAATACAAGTAAACAAAACAAAACAAAACACTGGCACTCCCAGCACTGTTATCCCTCCTGACACAGGAGGCAGTACATGGGTATTCAGCTTGTAGCAGCTGAACCGAACCAAACCATGGCTCCCTCTCTGTGTCTTTGTCCCAGGTGATGCAGGTGGTGAGGGAGCAGATCACCAGGACGTTGTCCAGTAAACCAACCTCCCTAGAGCTCTTCAAGAACAAAGTTAACGCACTCAACTACAGCGAGATCCTCAAACTGCGGCAGACAGAGCGGCTGCACCAGGAAGAGACTCTCGCTCCACCCGTACTGTGAGTAATAGGAGGGTTAGGGACTCAATACCCTTGAAAACTAGTTGTCAAGCACTTCCTCAATGCCTTGTTTCAGTCCTTACCTTAGCTACAAGGCAGAGAAAAATACTACAGATGAGCTACTAGATGGAAGCTGTTGAGAATTAGTTTTTTTTGTTTAGTTTCATTTTGTTTTTCCCCCACTGATCAGCCTTTTAATATTTCAGTGTTTGATACACACAGGACTCAGGGTTTGATCATTTATGTAGATGGTTTCGGTTGTTTCACTTTGTAGCAGCAGCCATTTTGGTTCCATGGTTCTAGAGGAAAACAACTGACAGTAAGTAAATCAATGCAGTGTTTTTTGCACAACTTGATCAGCTGCTCCAGATGGTTTCCACCTATATGGAATCAGTTGACAGGTCAGCAGCCATACTGTTGTTTATTATGGTACTAAACAGTGAGTAACTGTGTGCTGCTGTCATAATATGGGTCATCCATGCAGGTAACTATGAAAAAACCTCTGTATGAATAGTGATCAGTACTTAGGCAATGGTAATACATTTTATTTAACCATATATAACTAAACTTTCTTCATGTTTGCTGTGGTTTGGTTGTGAGTTTGCAACCATGCTTTCATGAAAATATGGATTCTAATGTCATTTTACAAAGCACTTTAACTGTGTTTCTTTTCAGTGAGCTCAAAGAGCGCCTGAAGCCAGAGCTACTGGAGTTGATCCGCCAGCAGAGACTCAACAGGCTGTGTCAGGGAACAATGTTCAGGAAGATCAGCAGCCGGCGCAGACAGGGTGAGGGCCAAGCACACACATCATACACACAGTCACTTTAAAAACAGCAGAGAGCTGACCATCTCTTCTCTGGCTAACCTCTGTCTCTTGCCATTTTGAATCCAGATAAACTGTGGTACTGCCGCCTGTCGCCCAATCACAAGATGCTTCACTATGGCGATGTTGAGGAAGACACAGAAAATCCACCAATTGAAACACTGCAAGAAAAGAGTGAGTTGAGACCGGGCCAGACAAATGCAACAAATTACAGATTTTCTGCATTTAAGTTACTAAAAGTATACATAGTGAAAATATTCACAATTGGAGCACTGGTTAATGTATTAACTGTGTGTTCATTACTCCATCTCTCTGTTCTCCTTCACATACTCCTGTTGAAGTTCCAGTAGCAGATATCAAAGGTTTGCTGCTAGGAAAGGACTGTCCTCACATGAAAGAGAACAAAGGCAAACAGAACAAGGTCAGCAGGTCTTCTTATTATGGTCATGCATCCCTCTCATATTTGTTGCCGTAACAAACAAGAAGTCTCACTGTGTTTGTATGTGTGTTCCTGGCTTTAGGAGGTGCTGGACCTGGCATTCAGCATCACATATGATGTAGAGGAGTACAGCTTGAACTTCATTGCTCCCTCCAGAACTGATGTGAGCCTGGCTCTGCACTTACCTGTGTCCCCACATTTCCAGATGTGGACTGGGAACTTTCTTCTTTATCACAGATTCTTCTGTCTGACAGTGTACAGCAGGGGTGTCAAACTCAATCGCACAGGGGGCCAAAACTCAAAGCACACTTTAGGTCGCGGGCCGAACAGGATAAACATTTATTGAACAGACTAAAACTAAAGGTTTTTTGAACATAAATATGAATTGAAACAGACAGGATACAATATTATTCCAAAATAAATAAACTTGAACTTAAAATCACCAACCCTATTTCTGCTAAGGCTTAGTACATTTACAAACACCTGCTTTTTGTCTGGACACAAGACGTCCACACTTTCATCATGCAGCTCTTCAGAAACTCTCCCTCGGTAAATGTCCGGGCTGATTTTCTCCTCTGCCCCAATAAAACTTCTTTCACAGCAGCTTCACTGTGTGATTTCACTTTGGTGAAAACATCTGCTGTGATGTCAGATTCCTCTTCAACTCCTCTACCTTCTGTAGCTTCTGCTCTTCATTCACGTTTTTCAGCTTGTCCTGATGTTTTGTCTCGTAGTGCCGTCTTAGGTTATATTCCTTAATTACAGCCACATTAGCTCCACAAATAAGACACACGGGTTTACAGACAATGTCAGTAAACATATACTCAGGCTCCCACCGGTTTAGAAAGGCTGTTTTCAGAATCAACTTTTCTCTTGGCCATTGTCAGGGACTAGCTTTGACTTTAAATTAGGGTTGTATACATCAACAGACGCTTGATTGATCTGACGTAATTGACATGGGAATGATCGCAGGTAGCCTATCGTTCGGTAAGGTAGCTGCATTGTGGGATTTGTAGTTTTTGTGTTAACGGCGCTTCATATCGCTGGACCATTAAAAAAACATTGATAAAATTATCTCGCCGGCCGGATGTAATTGTACGCCGGGGCGGATGTGGCACGTGGGCCTTGAGTTTGACACATGTGGTGTACAGTATGAATATACTGGGTGCTTACTGTCTGTCTGTTGTCAGTTCTGCCTGTGGACCGATGGACTGAGTGTCCTCCTTGGCCGGGAAATGAGTAGTGAATCCATGCGCAGCGAGCTGGAGATCCTCCTCTCTATGGAGATCAAGCTCCGCCTCCTGGACCTCGAGAACGTCCCAATCCCCGACAGTGCACCGGTTGTCCCCAAACCTCCGAGCAACTACAACTTCTGCTACGACTTCAGCCAGACCGAGCAGTAAAGGGTGCGCAGGCTGGAGTGCTACTAAGAGGCATGAATGTGTAAGTGCATGTTTGTGTGGATGTGGTGAGATCTGACCTGTGTATCCACGTACTCATTCCTGTAACACGGATTTATAACTCGCCTGTGGCCTGGTCAGCGACATGCAAGTGAAACCAAGACCAGGAGAAATCAAGCGGAAAGACTCGCATGTCTCTTAAACTACAGTTGCGACTGCGGCTAAGAATCACTACCTGATGACTAATCGGCTGGCCTAATGCTGCAGATCATCACTCCGTGTGGGGTGGAAATGTCTCGCTGATCTTGGTTAGTTAATGTCCAGCTGGCCTCCCTCCTGCACTGCACCTTTTCAGCTGTCTGGAAACTACAGCAACTGAGATGCGTGACAATGTTACACAAATACTAGACCACTCACGTTATGGTACTTTAAGTTTTGTCTTGTTTTTTAATCACTTTTATATTTTTAAATATATGTAAACCTACAAGGAATATTCCTGCATGGGGCTGCTTGTGCAAATTTCTATAATTTTTTTTTTGTTTTTTCTCCATGGGCATTATGTAGAACAAAACCCTTCCAACACTTGACCGAATGTTTTCAGTGTATGGATCTTACTATGGAGCAGAAATGCTCCAAGCTCGGTATGACTTGTTCTTAGCATTAAGATCGGCATTAGGTACCAAGCTGACCTTTTCCCCCTTTTTGTTACGCATAACAATAGCCTGTTGTACATTTGCACCAATCAAAAATTTGAATGAACAAGTTTTATATTCATGTAAATCTGTATGACACAGTATGCATTGGATGATCTTTGTTTGTCTCAACTGGCTTGGATCAAATCCTGAATTAACGTTGAAATCTTTTTTTTAGGTACTTAATCTAATGTGATGCTCGGTCTCAGTAAGCATCAGATTATTTCATTGCAGCCAAGCCACGGTGCATTTTTGACAAACTTGTGATTATGATCGCTTTGAGTCATGCACTTTGGATGACTTCACATAAATAAACAGTTTGGCTTATCCTGAGGGGAAAAAAAGTGTGTTTTGTTCATAGCTTAGTAGCCAATCCTCAGTTTATTTCTCAAATCAATATCTTTTATACTTGATTCATCACCTCTACAGTTTCCAAGTCTCCCTCTGTCATAGTGCATCAAACAGTGTTAGAACAGTACAGAATCTTTCAACAATGTGCAAACAGTATGAAGGGACATTTAAGTAGGCTTCACTGGAGAGAACATCCGTCAGAGGGTAGCCTACATGTAAATCAAATCTCCTGATAACTCTGGCGGTTTGAAAAGAATCCTGAAATAAAACAATTAATGGTTGTCAGTGCTGCACATGGGAACAGTCACACTGCTGACGTGCTCTCCTGAAAGAGACCGGGCACCTTACAATGTGTGCCATCATGTACCATTCCTTTGGAGTAATTGGCCTTTATCTTGGTCTAACTGTTGAAACTATAGGACCGCTATTTCACATTCTCTATCAGCTTTATTTCTACTTTAGTGACACAAAACATTGTTAGAAAACAAAACAAAAAATTTTAAATCAAGAAAAATTAAATGCACTGTTGCTAAAGCTCTACAGAAGTGGACAAATGTGAGTTTAAGTTAGGTCCTTTCTCTGCACAAAGCGCAGTAGAAATTTGCAAAACCTGTAGAATTTAGTCTGTTTCTTGGTCATTTTAAAATCACATAGGTTCAAAGTTTTTAAATATACACTTGCATTAGTATACAGTGAGGAACAGAAGTATTTGAACACCCTGCGATTTTGCAAGTTCTCCTACTTAGAAATCATGGAGGGGTCTGAAATTCACATTGTAGGTGCATTCCCAGTCAGAGACAGAATTAAAAAAAAAAAGTTCAGGAAATCACATTGTATGATTTTTAAAGAATTTATTTGTCTTGCACTGCTAAACATAAGTATTTGAACACCTGAGAAAATCAGTGTTAATATTTGGTACAGAAACCTTTGTTTGCAATTACAGAGGTCAAACATTTCCTGTAGTTCTTGACCAGGTTTGCACACACTGCAACAGGGATTTTGACCCACTCCTCCACACAGATCTCCTCTAGATCTGTCAGGTTTCGGGGCTGTCACTGAGCAACGCGGAGTTTAAGCTCCCTCCAAAGATGTTCTATTGGATTGAGGTCTGGAGACTGGCTAGGCCACTCCAGAACCTTGATATGCTTCTTACGGAGCCACTCCTTGGTTATCCTGGCTGTGTGCTTCGGGGCGTTGTCATGTTAGAAGACCCAGCCATGACCCATCTTCAATGCTCTGACTGACGGAAGGAGGTTGTTGCTCAAAATCTCACAATAAATGGCCCCATTCATCCTCTCCTCAATACGGTGCAGACGTCCTGTCCCCTTCACAGAAAAGCACCCCCAAAGCATGATGTTACCACCCCCATGCTTCACAGTAGGGATGGTGTTCTTGGGATGCAACTCATCCTTCTTTTTCCTCCAAACACGACGAGTGAAGTTTAGACCAAAAAGGTCTACTTTGGTTTCATCTGGCCACATGACTTTCTCCCATGCCTCCTCTGGATCATCCAGATGGTCTTTGGCAAACTTCAGACCGGCCTGGACATGTGATGACTTGAGCAGGGGAACCTTCCGTGCAATGCATGATTTGAAACCATGACGGCGTAGTCTTCTAACGACAGTGACCTTTGAAACTGTGGTCCCAGCTCTCTTCATGTCATTGACCAGCTCCTCCCCTGTAGTTCTCATCTGATTCCTCACCTTTCTTATCAGTGATACCCCACGAGGTGAGATCTTGCATGGCGCCCCAGTCCGAGGGAGACTGACAGTCGTCTTTAGCCTCTTCCATTTTCCAACAATTGCTCCAACAGTGGATCTGTTTTCACCAAGCTGCTTGGCAATTGCCCCGTAGCCCTTTCCAGCCTTGCGGAGGTCCACAATTTTGTCTCTGGTGTCTTTTGACAGCTCTTTGGTCTTGCCCATGGTAGTAGTTGGCGTCTGACTGAC